AGTGTGTGTGTGTGTGTGAGTGTGTGAGTGAGTGAGGGAGTGAGTGTGAGTGAGTGAGTGAGTGTGTGTAGAGGATACAGACCCACAGACAGAGAGGACCGTCTGTACTGGAGCTCTACAAACACAACTCACCAACTGGGCCAGAAAACCCACATCTGCTGAGTTACATCACAGGTACAGACACACACAAGCGCCAGTGTTATTTTAGGATCCTTGTTATATTTCAGTTAATGTTCCTTTCATTTCAAGTAATGGAAATTTTTGTTTGATTTTAGTTAGTTTAACTATAGTAACCCGACATGCACATGTAGTTCTGTAAATGAGTAACTCTGGACATTAATAACAATGACTGCAGACACGCTGTAAAACTGTCTCGTGTGTGTTTAGGACTGTTGAGCTGAAGAGGACGTGTGTGACGGAGTTTAAAATGGATCATCACAGTCCAACGCAAACAAACACCTACAGACAGATCAGAGTATGTGCTGAAGCCCGTCTGCTGTCTGTCTGCTCTCTGTCTGTCTGTCTGCTCTCTGTCTGTCTGTCTGCTCTCTGTCTGTCTGTACATCTGTCTGCTGTCTGTCTCTCAGGGAGGGGTGTGACAGAGAGGTACATTTCAGGTCGGCTGGCAGATCCTGTAGTGCTCAGCTGTGTGTGTGTGTGGTGTGTGTGAGTGTTTACACTGTCATTTCCGATACAAAGGATATTGGAATGCAGTTGCTAAGCCTGTTATCTTATATGTGTATATGTTTTAAAGCCTTCCCAGTTTACGGCCTCTGCTAGATGTCAGCTACCTGCCGCTAACGGACATGCGCATTGCTAGAACATTCTGCTTCACCAACGGAGGGCAGGCGCTGTATCTATGCTCCCCCACAGAGATACAGAGAATCACTTACAGCCAGGAGATGTGTGACAACCTACAGGTGGCTGTGCCTTTGTGTGTGTTCAGGAGGACAGTTGTGTGTGTGGTGTGTGTGTGTGTGTGTGCGTGTGGTGTGTGTGCGTGTGGTGTGTGTGTGTGTGTGTGTGTGTGCAGGATGAAGAGGAGGCTTTCATGTGTCGTCTGGCGTCTCTAGCACGAGTGTCTCTCAGCAGTATGAACACAGATGATGTTACAGGTCAGAAACACACATCTGAGTAACTGATGATCATCGGTCACACTGGAAGAGCATGGCATTCACTGAAGGGCTTGTCTGTTTTATCCTCACAGAAAGCGGCTGAAGACCTGCTGCTGGATCATCTTCTCATCAGACCAGCAGGAATGAAGGCATCTTCTCATGTTTCTGAGGATCACGCGCTTGTTTTCTGTACTTCTGCTTCACTTTGTCCCATTAAGAGCAAAGATTGCTAAAAATCTCCAAAATATCTCAATCGTTAAAGAGAATGATTGTTTGTTGGTGTCAGATTCTCAATTAAAATCTGTTTATTACAGCCTTTTATGAGGATCTTTATACCTGTGGTTTAAAATGGATCACTGTGACTGGGCTTTTCTCTTTGTCTTTATAATAAAGCTGTTTATGTAGTTGAGCAGTTTTCATGTTTGAAACTAAATGTGTCGAAGTGTGAGATAATGAATATCGCTGATGATTCCTTACAATGCCCGGGTTCACAAAGATAGCAGCGAGACTGCAGCTTATTTTAATCAAATAAAACACTTTTAACATTTCTAAGTGACCACAAAAATAACCACATATTATAATCTGTTTCCAAAATATGACATTTTCTGTAAGTGCTTATTAAGATAAGGATGTTGACATTTTTTTCTTAAATTCAATCTAAGTGTGAGGGAAATACTGTTCTTTTTTTACAGGAATATTCAATAAAAGACAGCGCTCCTATATTTTTATATTTAATATTTTCTCCGGCTCGGTTGGTGGCGGTAAAGCGCCGAAACGTGTTTCTAACTGCCGCCAAAGAAGAGGTTGCGCGGTTGGCTCGAGACGAGCTAGCGGGCGACACTAGGGTGTGACTGGAGCAGAGATGGAAGGAAGTGACGTAGGATCAGGAAGTGAGCTGGACATAGAGGATGAATGTAGTGGCGGGGAGAAAGGATCAGAATACAAACAAAAACCATTATCTCTTTTGTATGGATTCCTGCACATATAGGGATAGAAGGTAATGAAGTGGTGGATCAAATAGCGAAAAAAACATTAAAACATCCAGACATAGAATTTAATGTTCCAATGAGTAAATTAGAAATAAAAGGGCTAATTAAAAAAGCATTAAAAGATATATGGCAAAGTAAATGGGATGGTGAGAATAAAGGACGGCATTTATATAATATTCAAAAAACAGTTGGAAATGAGAGGAGAATTTTTGGGAATAGAAAGGAAGACGGCATAATATCTCGCCTTAGAATTGGACACACTGCACTTAATCAATCATTATTTATAATAGGAAAACATGAGTCTGGACTTTGTGGTAAATGTGATCTTCCTGAAACAGTTGAACATATTTTAATAACATGTAAATGATACACAAAGGATAAAGATGTGACTATAGAAATGTTTCACATATTATTTAAGTATCTCAAAGATACAGAGTTAATAAACAGGATTTAAAGAATCACTACAAATGTATTTAATTTTTTTTAAAATAATTTTTGTTTTTTTTTTTTTTAGTTTTCTTTTAACGTCATTGCTCCACACTCCATCCTAGTAGGTGGCGGTAAATGCACCTAAAGCTGGTTTGCCAACCGCCATAAAACGTCAAAGAAGAAGAAGAAGAAGAGGTTGCGCGACTGCGCATGCGCGGTGGTCAGACAGCCAAAATGGCGGCGAGTAACGGCGGAGGAATGGAGGTGGACGCGACAGGTGAGAAAATCACACTTTAGCGCCGTTTAACGCTCTTTATAACGACAGATCCACTTCATTAAACACAAATACGACAAACGATCACTGGACTGAAATCACAGGTCATCTCGAGCTGCCTCTGATAAGGCTCGGGCTGTTACTGACAGACTGACGCTGGCTCGGGCTTGATTTCGATTGGTCAGCAGGCCTCATAAGTCCCGCCTCAACGGCGGACTCTCCTCTGTGATTGGCTGCGCTCTGTTTTTGTCAATGGCAGCAAGTGCAGCGTTTCTGGCTTCACTGAGTTTGAACACTTGTGCGCTCATGTTGATATTTTCAGTGTTTGTTTTGGGCAACATGAGTTTATTGTCATAAAATCAAATGTAATTATTCTGTAAATGTGTCGGAATGAAAGGATCCGAATGACTTTACCTCAGTCCGTATAAATCAGTCTTTTTTGAACATTAAAGCATGTCAACATATTCTGTTACACCAAATACACAAAATAATGATCTTTAAAAAAGCATCATATGACCCCTTTAACAAATGAAGACACAGTCGAGATTTCAGAATGGACGTGATCATGTGACTGAAGCATAATAATTCTGCAGTTTCTCAGAACCATTCCAGGTTTTGCTAACGTTCCCAATAAGTTATGAAAACGTTATTTTTCAATGTTTGTCTGTCTGTGTGTGTGTCTCTCTCTCTTTGTGTGTGTGTGTGTCTCTCTCTCTTTGTGTGTGTGTGTGTGTCTGTGTGTGTCTCTCTGTGTGTGTGTCTCTTTCTGTGTGTGTGTGTGCGTCTCAGTGTGTGTGTGTGTGTGTGTGTCTT